GAGCACTGTCGTACACAACAACAGGCATGAAGGATTTGGGGGGAGGTGAGGGAGAAGTGTTGGAGTGGGAAGCTGTTGTTACTCTTACCTGCTCCAGACACTCAGACCTCAAGCGCTCACAGTATGGTCTCCCTACCCTTGGTTACTGCTCCCTGAGGACCACCAGTCTGGAGCCTCCTCTAAATTTGTGCCCCTGTCATCCACCATTAGTTATGTTACTGCCCCAATCTTGAATTCAGTTAGTCTGTGATGTGCTGTGGCACAGTTGAAGAAAATACCTATCCCCAGTGTTTCTAAACCACATCTCTAGCAAGTGGCTCTCAGGTCTGTGAAAACTGTATGTCTGCTATATGTACACAATTTGATGACTGGATTAATGAAAACAATAACATATTTACACTACTTTTTGGCAGCTAGTACCTCCCATGGCTGACTTCAGTCCCTCAGAGACATTCACACCAATTTAAATGGGTACTAGCTTAATTCCCTGTGTATTCCTGCTGTGCACATAAAAAAAACAAACAAACTAAGGGCATACAGTTGATGTAAAGAAGAAATTAATAATTAAAAATAGTTCAGGCCATCATCATCTCTAGCACCATGGATATGACTCTCATGAAATATGTCACGGGATGGGGTCTGCAAGAATGGCCATAATCTCCTAAGGCTCTTGAGCATGCCAATTCAGCCCGATGGGCACCCACTTTTCTCGCCTGCCAAGTCTTGATGAAAATGTAATATAGGGAGGCTGCCTTCATGTCTTGTCAGACATGGTTCTGATGGACTTCTCTGGACTCTGTGGGTCCCCAGATCCCTTGTGGATCCTATTTCAAAATAGATGTTTTGGGACACCATAGCATTATGGACTATATGCATGGCTCCAACCACCGTCTTACCACACCCAAGCCTCACAGATGGCATTGACATTGTCCTGTCCAGGCCTTGCTGCGATTTGGCCCCCTTGTCCTCTCTGGGCTCTCCGCAGCCCTGTCTCTGCATGTCACTGGCGCCGGGGTCTGTGCCTCCCCCAAATGCTGCACCCTCTCAGGCACTGGGGTCTGTGTCCCACCCAAACGCTGTGCCCTCGCTGGTGCTGGGGTCCGTGCACTCCCAAATGCTGCACCCTTGCTGGCACCAGGGTCTGTGCCCCCCAAATGCTGCACCCTTGCTGGCACCGGGGTCTGTGCCACACCCAAATGCCATGCCCTCTCGGGTGCTAGGGTCCTCACGCTGTAGTGGGACCCCAATGAGGCCTCCTTCTTCCCCAAATACCCTCGGCCAAACCACCAGTGTTATAAACAGCAAACAAACATAAGCCCCTGGGCTATAACATAATACAAAAGAAAAGGGCATGCTCTGCCCCTTTAAAAGCATCAAACTTCGTCCCCAGCACTAAGTGGTGAGTAGGCAAGGGTACCTGCAGAGCTCATGGAGCCCCATTAGACCTAGGGGCAGCATAACAGGCAGTTGCTGTATCACTGGGCACTTCCTCCCTGGAGGCTCCTTCCCCTCTGGCTGCTAGCAGGGAACTGCCCTCCCTAGTTCCAGCCTGGGGTTTATATGGGCCCAGGGCCCTGCCCCTTTTGGTCAGCTGACCATGTGCAAGTGCAGGCTAATTTGCCCTCTGTTTTTTTGCCCGGGTAACCTGCACCTGGGCTTCTGTCTTTCTCTTTGGGCTCCCTCCCCAGGCAGTTTCTGCTCTTCCAGGAGCAGGGCACCTTAGTGCCCTGCAACACAATGGGATTGTAATTCATGACAACTAAGCTTTGGAGAACATCATAGGTAACTACAGCAGGTCAACTCTTCTTTGAGTTACTGAACTCCTACTCTATCTTTAAAAAGATAAAGCACCTAGCCAAGAAAGAAAGTGTTTTAGGGAATAAGGGTTTCTTCCTGAAGTCATGGTTTCCCTGGTCAGTCTTTTTAAATTTTACCAAAGTATGTTGGACAGTTCATTCATTCACTTCATGATTGACCAGAAGGAATACTGTAAATCTTGGAACTGAAGCACTATCTAGTAATTTGAGTATGATGGAAAGATCAAAGAGACTTCAGAGTCCCAGTTAACTATAAAGTTCCTTCATATTCTTTATATTTCACTATGAAGAACTGACCTGTCTAGGAATTAAGTCAGCCTCCTATGCAAAGCAGATATACAATTAATAGGAACTTCCAAGGCTGCCTGGATGATCATAGCTAGTTATGCAGATTCAAATCCTAGACGTTTATTCACTATGTAACACATACAGCAGACTTATATTAATTTTGTAATTGGAAAGCTAGAGCAGTAAAGGAATCCAATTATTATATAGCTCTCACCAATGCAGGTGCTAAAAATGTTTTAAATGAAAATGACTTCCTTGTGCATAATAAAAAAACCCTGCACAATATACAAGGAAATTATCATTTCAGTTTCAAATGTCAAATTTTTCTATAGTTTTTAGGTTTCTAGGAACAAAAATGAAGACAGCAATTAGAATAAATACAAATATATTTTTATAATAAATGCATCTTTTAATACATTTAATATTTAATGAATGTAGGTGCTTAGCTTTATATTATAGGAATAGTTATCCATTAGTTACAATAAAGAATTGTTACTAAACTTTTACTATAAATACTCAAACCATTTCAATTCTTCCTTGCATACACTTAAATGATCACTTCCTACATCAGGATCTGGGAGCTTACCTGCATGCAGGATCCTACTGAATTCAATGGGACTTTACTATCAAACATAAGTCTGACAAAAGATCCCAATGTGATACCAAGACATAGAAGAGAAAAGGTTTTAAAATGCAAATTATACTTGCCAAATATAGACTATTTAGGAACTTAATACCTTGTATTTATCTTTCTTAAACAGTTCATACCTCATAAGGTAGCTCAAACTCAACTATTACATGATGAAAAGCTTCATGGATAAATCTAAATACTTTAAAAAAAGACTTAAAAAAAATCCCATTTAAAAAAGCATGATTCTGAGAAAATATCCAAGTCTTTTGCACAAAGTTTGTAGGAAACTATAACAAAAGAAATACAAAACAAATTAATGCAATGAGGCTTTTCTCTCAGATATCCTTCAGACTTTAAAGTCTTACTTTCGTTCAACTGCTGCTTAGGTGTTAGTTATCTTCCAAAATCTTAAAACCCACACATTTAGTTACTATTTAAAATATATAGAAAAACTGCATCTCTCTTCTAAATGCAGTTCTTCTACTAAGACGTTTGCAGCAGGGTGAGGGCAGGGATTAAACAAAATATGCACAGATCAAACTGAAACGAAACTTTGTCTGGCTTTTGTACCATGTGTATAACAAATACTATGCAACTAAACAAAAATAGTTTTTCCAGCACTGGTGCAGGATTGCATGTGGTCTTCCAAACAGAAGCCACATTGGTCTCTTCTTTGGTGGCTATAATTCTTTGGTGAGGCTATGAATTATATCTAAACATATTATTTTAGTTTTGAAGTAAAAAAGTAGAACATTAATGCCACTCAAGAGGAGTCTGCATGCTTCAACCTGAAATTTCAAATGTGCTTATGATGCATTTTACAATTTTGTCACAAGCAGAAAAGCATTGGAAGGTGGTGACTGATAAATCTCCAAATTGGTTGATAACACTAGAAGGAAAAGGCCAAGTCTGATAGTGGACAAGTCACTGGTATGCAGGTAGGGAAACACCTGTCTTTTCATGCTTTGTATATCTTATAGGGAAAAGATTTACGTTCTTCCTCCATTGAGGTAGAATAAGAATAGAGAAATACTGGGATAAAATAAGAATAAGGGATCAAGCCACACATCTGGATAAACTTAATCATGCAAGCCTTTACAAACACTGATTAGTACTCACTGACATAAGTAGCCCTACTGAAGCAAGCCTTCTTCTGAGTAAATTCCCATAAACAGGATTTTTAAGTCAAGCTGCTGTAAGATTACTGGGTTAACATAAATCGGAAGTGTGCTCAAAGGATTATGAAACAAAATGAACAAAATAAAAACAGTTCCACTCAAGTCAGGATCTTGAGCTAAAGAAATGGTTAAATTAAAGGTTGAATCGTTACCTGAAGCTCATCAAGCATTTGAAGCCTGATACTGCCAAAAAAAACTCGAGAGGAAATTTCATGAGAATACTTTGTAAGATAGTGAAGTTCTAGTGAGATCAGTCATTCCCATGAGAATCTAAAGAGCTTTCTTATAACAATTAAGAGGAACAAAACCCCAAAATGGACAATGTGACAAAACATGGGCAATTGTTTTACTGACTTTTTTCCTTTGTAGTCTTGGGAAGCTAGATAGGAAAACAATTCACCTCACAATAGACATAGGTATCTTACTACAAACCAACATTAATCTGCTCTGGGGAGAAGCAGTGATGTCTTAGAAGAGAGACAGTAGCAGTATATCTCCTTACTTTCACCACAAAGAACGTTCCCTTCTGTTCTTAAAAGCTATGGGCAAAAGTATAAAAGGAAAAAAAAGTAGGGTAAAAACACAGGTGTAATCGTATTAGGTCAGTAGATGCTATATTACTTTCATTCTAACTTAGTAAGAGCATAAATAGTTAGTGAAAGGATGCTTTTCATTTATTTCAATATACCCTGAAATAATCATTCCTTCATATAGTCTTCATAGAGTAAAAGTTCAAAGAGCACAACATCATCTGAAATAAAATGAACATTTTCAAGTGATATTTCATGAAGAGAGTACTCACTGTTTTTATTCATTTTGTTGATTTGCATCGTCTTTCAACAAATATGACATCACTCATTTTTATCTTATCTTAATATACTCAAGGCAACTTATTTGTATGATTATACCCTTAGAAAGCTATCAGTCCCCATTTCAACTTTCAACTTATGTATAATCCAAATACATATTAAGTAAAAATTAAAAGCCCCTTTTAAGATTCATCCTTGCTATCCTGCACTTTCTATTAAAATATGACTTATTACTTGTAATTAGAACTATAACGTAAAGAGTTACCAAAATACTAACTGTCAGCGATAGTTGTGACTTCCTCATTTCGATACAACCAACTGACAACAGGTGCAGGTGAACTAGTGACACGGCAAACAACTTCTGCATCCTCTCCTTGTCTGAATTCTTGTGGGGATGTTATATCTCGGAAAGTGAGCTTTTCTGTAAAATGTGAAGAACAGAATTTAACAAACCTCACATTATTTTCTTTAGCTTTGCAGGTTACATTGCAAGACATTGTTCAAAGAGAAATAAATCAAAGAAAAAGAGGTGGGAACATTTGTAATCAGGTCATCTAATCTATTCTTTAAGATATAAAACAGATTCCTACTTCTCGCTTTTAACTATTTTGGGCCTGGCAGTGGAATTTTTACTCAGGAGGGTGAGTACTTCCTGAGGTAGAAACGTCCTTGATGGTAGCGGTTTGTATTTTTCTATATATGCCCCAGAAACTAAAAAGGGAGAGATTTTCTGAAAAATCTTAGTTTTTATTTAAAAAGTAAATAAAAGAGAGGGTGGGGAAGTGAAATTTTAGCTCCTTGATTGTAGAAAAAGACAAAATATATCATCTGAGTGAAACCTAAGTGATCAAAACCCAACCGACATATAACTCCATATTTATTCAAAAATATATTATTTAATAATTTGGGGTTGGAGTAGTTTATTGTGCAAGTAAGGTTTGAATCATTTGAATCCTTATTGAAAAATAATACAACACAGTACCCTATGCAGGGTCCTTGCCAAACTGTTGCCCAAGAAGATCTTTTGAAAGACCACACCTTAGACGTATTCTCTCTGTTAATGCACATTTCGTGCACAGGGAGAGCACAAAGAAATATTATTTAGGACAGAATAGAAGCTCCCCTGAAGTTCAAGCATTTCTTGTCATTGGCTGGTTTGGAGGGTAAGATATGGAGACAAGTATTTATCTCCTACTTGCTTCTACAAATCCACTTTTCAGAGACTTCAAGTGCAGGATTGAACAGTCAATGTGGCACCCAGGTCACATACTGCTATTGTGTACATCTCTTGTACAGCCTGATCTTTGGCCAATGAGGTCTATAAACAGTGGCATAGTTTAGATTGGTAGCAAACAGGACACGTATTTGCCCTTTGGTGGGGGGCCAGGCGGATGTGGCTAAATCTTAAGACTGAATTCTGCCATTTTTTAAACCAGTCTATGTGTGCTGAATGTCTGTTCTGTGATGGGTATAGACCAGCTTCTGACCACTTATACCAGTAAAAGTGTAATGTATGTACCTGGCCATACTGACTGTTGTGTACTTACAATCACACTTGAAAGGATACAGGAACTCTCATTGTTCTATCATATAGCATAAACAATGCAAATTAGGAAAATTTGGCATGAAACTTCATGTCTTTTTCCTGGTTTCTTGTAATTTTCTTTTTCTTTGCTCCTGAGAACTATTTTGTTAAACATTAGATTGCTATACTTCTGACAAAGACTTCAACGGATTTCTATACTTCTCAGTAGTCTGCCCATGTTGTGATTGATAGCTTTAGGCATACAAATAACTTCTACAGAATTTGAAATTATTTTGAACTATCAACTTTGCAACCATCGTGTTATTGTTTGTAAATGTCATCAGCTTGAACAGTTGTTTTGTCAGTCGTATTTATTTTTCAAATGGTCTATCCTTTGGCATCTGCTGTACTTTTACAGCTGCAGCACTTCAGTATTTGACCTGACATTTACTTGTCATGTTCTAGCTCATCAGTGACCTGGCCTGACTATTGGCCACAGCCTGTCATTAATTTTAATACAGAATTCACCATTGAAGTAAATGAGGAGTTCTGCTTAAGTAATAATGGCACAATATAGCTTCAATGCATGAATTTTTAATCTTAGGCTTTATCTGAGTGCTTCATTTAGGTTAGTACATATATCCAATTGATTTAAAGAATTCAGTTCAATACATTATACCTGCTAAAGCTATCTGAACTACACTTTGGCAAAGTTCCTCTGGCATGGCTTTTATATACTCACTTCATCACAATGCCTACTGTTTATATTTGAAGAAATAATCTTCAATTAAATACTGGATATATTGTTTAGGTAAACAGAATGTGCTTAGATGGCACTTAATGGCTATCATAAAGGCTTTAAAGCTTTCTAACCAAGTTCCTACAAGTCCCAGGACCAAGTACAGGGAAAGATTGATATTTTACTGTATGCTCTTTTTTAAACACTAGGGTCAGGTACAAACATTACACTTTTACTGGTATAAGTGGCTGGAAACTAATCTCTACCCATAACAGAAGTTCAGCACACACAGACTGGTTTTAAAATGGCAGAATATGGTCTAAGATTTGCTTCTCTCAACAAAGGGCAAATGTGTGTTCTATTTGCTACTGATCAAAGCTACGCTGCTTACAAAAAACCATCTAACTTAGATCAATTCCACCTTGGGCTTTTTGAATGTCTGTACCTAGCCTAAATGCTGCATCCCTCCTCCTACAAATCAATGTGCAATTTGGAATTTGTAAAGGAGATTTATTTTGGCCTAATACTTATTATTTATTATTATTGACTAATTCTTATCAGCCCATCTTGGGCTCTCCCATGTTAGTTCACGTATTGGTAACCTCACCCAAACTCTAAACCTGCTAACTTAAAAAAAAAAAAGAAAAAAAAAAGAATTTTTCAGTGCCTCACTCCCTTTTAGTCCCTCCCCTTACTCCCCTTTTGTTGCTCTTGCAGTCTGTACCCTACTAGAAGGGTTACAAGTCTGCAGTTTACTTCATTGCAGCTTCACTGCAGTTTGCTTCCCTCAGGTAACTGGGGTTGGGGCCCCTGTTACAGGTACTTTCTCCTACAAGAAATATACATAGTGCATCCTCATGATAAGACACTGTTGGAGCATCTACACATGCACTTTAATGTGCATTAGCCTACTTTAATGTGCATTAAAGCATCACTGAAAAAGTGTTATTTAGTTAATGTGCATTAAAATAGGTTAATATGCACTATTCCTAACTTAAAAACTGTGCTCTTCAGTTAATGCACATTGAGATAGGTTAATGGACATTTTCTTAGTACTTCACAATGGAGGATGTGAAGTACATGAGCAGAGAGGCTGCTCCAACATACTGTAATTCCAGTGTGTTGGAGCAGACTTATCTGATGGCGTATGGCAATTACCGTGTTCTAGCAGACTCCATATCTTGTGTATCAGTGTCCCTGCACGTCAACAGGGCAGCAGGGATGCTTTATCTAAATCTCATTGAACAAGCTTTAGATAAAGCACCACTGCTGCCATTTTAAAGTGTGGGGATGATGATACACGAGATGTTCTGGGTGCTTTAATACAAATTGCTCTTGGAGCACATGTATAAATGCCCAAAGGTACTAAAATTAATGCACATTAACTAAAGCACATGAATGCATTTGTAGACATGCCCTGTATTTCATAATACTAAATGATACTATAGTATACTATAATAGAGTTTTTAGGGGGGAATATGTCCCATTAAAATCTCCATAACAATATGTATGATTTGGACTGCATGAACTATAATCAATTGCATCAAAGAAATATGTCTACAGAGTGCTTACTTTTTCATTAAGGGCTAGTTTTCTACCTAATAAATGAAATTTAAAACAAATCCTCTCTTTTAGTTTGTTTTCACTCAATTTCACTTACGATAAATTTCCAAAACAACAGTGGCTTCTTGAGACTGTCCTTTTGCATCTGTTGCTTGGCACCGATATATCCCAGCATCTTCTACGTTTGCATTATAAATGGTTAGCCGTGATCTAACACCTTCTTTTTGAACAACTACTCGTTGACTAGAAACAATCTTCTCTCCTTGTGGATTGTACCAATCTATACTGTCAGGCTCACCAATAGCTAAAAGAAAAAGCAATATTAAAAAAAAAAAAAGTTCAGCATGTTTTATTCAGTTGAGATGATCTTAACCATATCAAGCTTATCTTGTGTATAAACTGAATACAAGTTTTAAGTGGGACCAAATTAAAACCAGGAGATACAGGTTCAATGGGTTATTATTTTAAATTATTAGTAAGGACTAGAAACATAAATCTATCAATATCTTGAGATCTGTATTTGTACAGCAATAGTGTAGAATACCATTTTGGGGAAGTTTATTTGAAGAAAATAACATCCAAGCCAAAAAGTTAGGCAAAAACTTAAATGGAACCTTTCTTTACATCTTTTTGTTGCCCCGGAGTATGTTCTAATTTTCTTTTAATTGCAGCTTTACCCTTCTTGGTCCCTGTCTATCTGATACTTAGTGCTGATAATGATAATAATAAAAATAAACTAAATTTCAAAAACAATTAAATAGAGAAAAGCTTCTGATGAACATTTTTCTCCGAAGAAATGCTCTATTTTTAGACCTGAACCACTGGCATTTCTCTCTCAGATGTTTTATCACCTGAAGCAAAAGTAAGGTGTGGATTATATATTAATTTACCATAATTCAGTACTATATAGTATAGTATACAGTACAGTATACCATACCATTAAGACCCCCTCTACACCTTACACTTAAGGCATGACATCTTAAGTTGTGACCCAGCTACACATTCAAACAATTAATAGTGAGGTAAAACAAGCAATAAGCTACAAAGATATTCCACAAAACTATGCAATAACTTTGTAGCTTGTTCTAATAACACCATTAATTGAACATGTGGCAATGTGCTCCCTTGTGGCTGGGAGACCCATTAAGTGAAGGGCTCCCAGCCACAGGCGTGAAACACATGCTTCCAGCACCATACCTGACAAGGCTTGAAGTAGTGGCAGCACTGTCAGCTGTGGGGCTTGCAGCTAGCATGCTCCCCACCCTGCAAGCATCCTTGGCTGTGGGGCTCACAGGGGGGAGAATGCTGTCCCTGCTGCAAGCCTCATAAGGTATGGGGCTCACAGTGGCGGTAGCATTCCCCACGCTGCCCCTACTGCAAGCTTTGCTGAGCCCAATCAGCTGCAGTGCTTGCAGCTGTGGGAGCTGGCACAAGGGCTGCCTGGGATCATGATAAGATGTGATGGGAATATATTCCATTGTACCTTTAGCACATGTAGAGAGGCCCATAGTAATGTAACCAGAATAATAAATGCAACATTGAGACATTTTGTCACCATTACAAAAACTGGTTGGTTTTTTTTTTTAAAGAAAATATCTTTGTAAGACATATTTTTGAGAGAAAGTTTTAAAATAGTAAAAATATTTTAAATGCAACCAGATAAATGGTTTTATATGCAAGACTAACTAGATTAATTTACTATTTTGAACTGTTACATTTTGCTTCTATGTTGTCATTAAATAACTTCAGCAGCCTCTTTGACTTGCATTCAAAAACAGTCATTAAACTATATTACACTTTTCAAAACTAACTGATATCCAGCTAGATGAATTCATGCACCTGCCTGCCCTTTTACTTTTTTAAAATTATCATCCATTCAAAAAATCTCACTGATTGGTGCAAATCACTCCTGATACAGGTACATATGCAGTATTAGTAGGCCAAATTCTATACCATATTCCGACACCACCGTATTCTGTATCTCAGACTAACCACTCATCGCCAATCTTGGAACACAGTTAGACTATTGAGAGATAAGGCTACATCCTTGAAGAAAATACTACAAAGCGGATATTCAACACCAAATCAACCCTGCTGAAAAAACAGAGCCTGTGACCTGCCTTGCCATAGAGTATTATGAGAATGCGAATTGGTTTTTGCTCTTCACAGCTGAATGTCAGCGAGGATGCAGGACCAACAACAGTGACATCTGTGATTTCCAAAAGGGATAAATTACTCTGTTTGGCTGGACAGGTGAATATGCCAGCAAACCAACGACCCTAACTAAAATGGGATTAGGGAGTAGGCAACAGCAGAGGGTTACTCAGGCATTTATAAAACTAATATAAGGTCTTTTTCCAGTCTCTCCTCTGGTTTCAGTAGAATTAAAAGTACCTGGGAGTAAACAAAACTGATGACACTGCAGAATGTGGCCTAACATATTTTAAGTAATATTTTAAGTAATACTGTTTACCAATGAGCCATTCAAAAAAAAGTAAGTCACTCTTACCTCATTCCTACAAAAGATACATAATTTCTATTGTTACCACAACAGAGCTAACAATTTTGTACCACCACTTCATTGACAAACTCTTGATAAAGCATAGGGATGATATACTGATGACTTTTTATGGGGCAATCAGTAGATTCATATGAATATAATGATATGGTCACTCTAAATAAATTGTCATGATCTTTATTAGGTACTGAAATATATGAGAGGCCTAACCTCTGAGAGAGACTGAACACCTCAGGTATTTATTCATTTTGAATGATAAAACTATTGAAAAGCGCCAGGGTGTCCCACTGTTAAAAACAGATTACTTTTATAAGAACCATAAGCAATACTGATTGTCATCTTATAAAAACAAAACAATGATCATATCCACACTAAAGTCTGAGCCATACACCAAGTAATGTCTTAGGTCAGGTGAAGAAAGAGCATAATCCCAGGCCCACTGAAATCAATGGTAGTTTTAGCACTGATTTCACTGGCGGCAGAATTTCATCCATCAAAGTGTATGTCAGCAGCATCCTAAAGGACACCAACACCACAGATGAAATTTTGGCCTCACTAAGGTAAATGGCAAAACTACCATGGATGTTATTAGGCCAGGAACTTGCACTACATATACCTTGAATAAAAGTTATTAAAACAGACTCCAATGAACTACCATGCAAACGCACTCTAGGTTTGTGGAAATTATTCAGCACTTTGGCATTCAGACCTTCAGTCACAGAATATTTTTTCTCACAGTTTATTAAAATTTTCTCTGGATAAAAAGTCTGTTTTATTAGAATAAATTAATTCCACTTTTTCAGGTTACATATGTTCTTTGGACACGAAAACAATCAGGTTGAACTGCAGTGCAGTGTGCTATGTCTAATTTATTCATTAACTATTTAGAAAAATTATGCAATTATGATCATTACATTCATTCTAATATTAGTGTTTAGCCAAGTAAAATAATTCTAAAAGGACAAAACAATATACATAAACAATTTATACTAATGGAAATCAGTTTCAGAAATAAGTGATTTAATCTGCTTGGCATCTAATATCACCAGTCTCCAGAATAAAATACATTATGGGAAAACAAGCAAGACTTAGTATTTACCCCAACAATCAAGCAGTTAAAATTCAATGCAAAATATAAAAATGCATAGTTTTAATATACATACTCTATGGCTATGAACTGAATTCAAATTATGCAGGTTGATAGTGGAAATTTAGCAAAAACTGCATTCTTGAATATATAATGAAATGCATACCTGTACATGTGAAGAATTTGGATTCACCGACACTAAGCTCTACCTTGCTAAGTGAAATCGCCACTTGAAGAAGAGCTGAAAAATAAAATTTAAGTACATCATGAACATATTTTGCACAAATCTTTTACAATATGCCTGACTGCTGCACAACATAACATATAAAAATGATGAATACAGAGAGCTAAACATAGTATTTCCCAAAGCAGTGTGTGTACACTGATTGGGAAAAACACAAATCGTCATCTAAGAATAAGTCAGAGATCATGTTTTAAACATAAAATATGACATTTCAGAAGATGTCCTGATTGGCAGTTGCTTATAGGTTATCATCCCTAATACCGACAGATTACGGCCAAAAAAAATAGAAC